GGTACTTTGGATACAACTAGTCAGGAGATGCAGATAAGATATTGTTTGATTAATAATTAAATGGGAAGCCTAGTCAACTAGAGAGCCAGTTTTGGTTGCGAGAGGGTTCGAAGTTAAGAAACAAATAGTGTTCTTTGGACAGTGATGAGCATTAGAGCAATTGGTATGGATTCGTGGTTAGGTTTAGGTCGAGAGTTGCGTTAGGAACTCTCTGCCTGTTCTTATCTGATGAAGGCTTAAGGGTCAGAAGCACGATCCGGACACCTGATAGAGTCCGGTAGGCAGGGTTTTGGTTCTCAGTGTTTTTGGTTAGTGTGTGGTTGTGGAATTTATGTAAGACTGCAGATCAACCGTATCATTCACTAAGATAGGATGTAGTTGTGGGAGTGTTATAAGACTATAGAGAATCCGTAGTATTTAATCGGTTGGTGGGCGGTGGTAATAGTGACGAAAGTCTGTGACTTGGCATGTGGCATTCTTTAGGATGATTTAGATCATGACAGGGTTGGGAGTGGGCCTCAACAGTTGTAATGCTTAGGAAATCATAGGCTGGGTTGGGGCCAATGTGATGTGAGAACTCGGTTCTGTTCGTAGCCGTGACTAGGTTAAGTGGACTTAGTGATCATTCAAGCATGGGTTGAATTGTCCTTCATTGGGAATGATTTATTCATGGAGTTGTGTTGGAGGATGGACCAGGACCACCTGTACCTATTTAGTTTTTGAGTCTGGAACTGATTTCGTTTTCGACGAGGATTTTTCGGTACTAGTAAGTGGTTAGGCCGTATATGTTTCGGGTATCCCTGATTTTTTTAGGACGGTTAGGTTTGTGTGAATCGAGATATAAAGTTGAGACATTATGGAAATGGTTTGGAGTGGTTTAGCCTTCTTGGGAGTCAGACATCGATCATGGTTTCAGTTTCAGGTGTAGCAATTAGGCACAAGTTGGTTTAGAGAAACGTTGAGGTTCATTCTTTGTAAGGGCTTGTGATTTCTGTATTTTGGATTCAATAATAGTATGGGTGGGTGGTCATCGGAGTAAGGTAAGTTTCCCCGTCATCCTTGTGATTCAAAGAGTTCAATCTGGGTCGTTTGGTTGAGCAGAGGAGATAGTAAGGAATGATTTCAAGGAAAAAATCTAATTTAAGTGGGGGTGAGTTGTAACACCCTGTTTTGGGCCATTGTGTGATTCAGGGTCGTGGGCCGGATATCGATTCTATAAAATCTTTTAGGCCTTAAGGAGGTGTTGTTTAGATCTTCTGGAAGAAGGCAATGAAGGTTATGAGACCTAAATCCTTTGGACTGTGCTTTGAGCCAAAGGGTGGCGAGGGAAAAATCATAGTTTGGTTTCTTGCATGATAAATGGATTTTTTTTAGGAGTTCTCAGTCCAAGATATCTAGGTATGATTATGGGCCTTTTCGATACTTTTCTGTGGATATAAAGAACATCGAAATCAGAGTTAGAATGAAGGAGTTATGGTTATTCAAAGTTGGAGGTTTTTTTAGGTTGATCCTAGTACGCTAGGCGTACTAGGTGAGGGATGATCACAGAGTTGAACCTAGTACGTTGGGCGTACTAGGAGTACGCGTGGTGTATGCAGGCTGATGCCAAACCCTAATTTTTAGGGCATTACCCTTATCTAAAGGTATTAACTCATCCTTGGGCCTCCATTAATCAGCCTCCACCTCTTCCAAACCCTAATATCGATTGTATCCTCTTTGAGCGAAGATATGGAAGCTTGGTGGTGATTTTGGTGGCATGTTGTTGAAGAAGAAGACTAGTGAAGTAGGAGGGGTTGCTTGCAAGCTTTTGGATCTAGAAACAACTTCATTTGGTGCATCTTCTAAAGGTATAAAGTTCATACCTTGATGAGTTTCCTTTTAGATCTTTGTAGATGGGTTGCATGAACTTTTGTCCCAAGTCTTGGACCTTTGTGAGTATGGAGTACTCCAAAGCTTATTAGCTGTCATTTCAAGCATTTTAGGTCTTGTGGATTCATAAAAATGGTTAATTGATGGTCCCTTTCTAGCCATGTAGATATTGGTAGTGTTGAGTGTGGATTAAATTAGAATTTCAAGGTTTAAACTCTTTCCAGCCATGCAAATGCTTAAAGTCTTTGACTTTATGGGTTAAGACGTTATTTAGGATCGAATATGAGAAGTAGACTTAATGGTTTAACCATTTAAGTCCTTAATGATGAGTTTGGGTTGTTGTGGAGTACGTTGGGTGTACCCAGCTCGTACGCAACGCGTACCACCCACCCAAAGGTGGCGTACGCTGAACGTAGATCAAGTATGCAGGGCGTACTCAGATCATTGACCGTCATTGACTTTTGTTGCCTTTTAGGTTTGGGGCCATATTTGGACTACTAAGGTTTTTTGGTCTTATTGGGTCGCTAGTCCTTTTTTACTTTGGGTCATTGTTAGGTGTTGCTTCTTGGAATTGGGCCCATAGTAGGCTTTGGGCACCATTTAGGATTTCGGGCCATTGTAGGCTTTGGGCGTCTTTGAGCAGGTCCCAATTATGGTTTATGACCTAATTATTAATTCATATATTTCTTGATGATATTTAGTGCGGAGGTTCCCCGGATCAATAGTTTGAGCATTTATCTGACTGTTTCAGCAGTTTGAGGCGAGTCTTCTCCCAATGCTTGTGAGTCGAAGGCACTAATGCCGACTCACTAAATTATATACGTAGGATGCTAGCTATCTTTGTGACTCTTGCATGTTTGTATGAGCCTGTGTGGTAGGATAATTGTATCTGTGATGACCAGCTGTGTATAGCTTTTATTATTGTGTTATGTTGTTTATGTGTCTGAGACTGTCGATAGTCTCCGGGGTTGCTGATAACCCACTGAGTGTGTTGTTCACCCAATGAGACTGCTGATAGTCTCCAAGGTTGCTAATAACCCATCGGACGTTTTGTTAGCCCATTGAGACTGCTGATAGTCTCCAGGGTTGCTGATAACCCACCGAGTGTGTTATTAGCCCACTGGAATTGCTGATAACCCATAGTTGTTTATTTGTGTTGTGTTGTGTGTGGTATTTTGGGGAAATCACTAAGCTTTGTGCTTACTATTTGTGGTTTGCATGTTTCAGGTTTTCTTATATTAAAGAAGGGGTACGGCTCGATTGCATCGCATCAATGAGGGACTTGCGTACTTGATAACTTTTAATGATACTCTGATAAATATTTTAAGATCTTGTAGTTGTGATTTCAATAAATACTTAAAGTTTTAATCGAAAATTTTGGGGCGTTACACATGATGTATGTATTTAAATTTTGGCCGAGCAAGAAAGACCACGAGAGGAGGATAAAAGTAGCAGAAATAAGGATGTTGAGGTGGATTAGCACTAGAATTTTGTTGGATAGGATACTAAATTCTAATATATGAAATTCGTTGGGAGTGCCGCAAATCACAAAAAAATAAAAATAAAAAATAAGGAATAGCGATTTAGGTGGTTTGGATACATTCTCAAGAAACTACTATCATCGGCACTAAGGAGGGTGTAATCAATGTTGATTAATAGTAAAAGGAGAAGAGGACATCCAAAAAGGAAGTGAGATAATAGTATGAAGTTAGACATGAAAAGGTTTTCTCTTTCCAAACACATGATCTCATATAGGAGGGTGTGGTGACTAGAATCGGGGTAGATAAGTAGCCTAGCCCTCATGTATGTTTTGTTTTCTGATGTTTATTATCGGTACCTATTCATGTTCAAATACTTATATTTTACACTATTTCATGAATTAGTACATCACACTATGAATGATCACACCTTTTTGTTTATTTTTTGCAAATTCCGATATACCTTTACTTGTCTCTTTTTTGATCTATCGATATTTCCATCTTACTATTCTCACTAACTATCCCCCTGCTACTTGTTTGTTTGTTTGTTTGCTCATTTATAGATTCTTGATTTTCACATGTTGGAGGTCATATATGTGACACAATCAATCTTTCCTATATGATGACATGAATGTCAACATCTACCTCTCCATACACCATTGTAATGGGATTTGTGAAGTATGTTAAGGTTGTTGCTACTGCTATTGTTGTGTAGTATATTAGTGGATTCTATTTTCTTAGAAGACTTGTGTAAATATATAAATCAATATGTGATGGATTTTATTCAAAAATTATAAGAAATGATATATACTTTCTAATAAAAGAGTTTCTCTTTAACACGTGTCACTTCGAACTCTAATATTTCTACAAATTTAATTGACTATTTTGCCCTCATTTAATTTAAATTCAGTACACATATTAATTTCCACCAATTCCACAAATTTCCGGTAATTGTAATCTTTAAATATGTTAAGTTTGAATCAATCCCTACAAATAAGCAATCAAAATTATTATGTATTTAATTTCAATTCCATAATAATAGTCAATCCCTTATGTTCAGAAATTATTTCTGGAAATCTGCATATCCTAAATCGGCAATTATTTGAGATTTTTTGAATCAACGTAATCAATGATAAATCAACAAATGATCTTCTCTAAAATTGAAATTGATTACTCGTGGTTCTCATGGGTTGTAACCTAGTTTCTAATATTTCAAGTGAGGGTAACAACTTTAAAAATACTCATCCAAAGGCTGGCTTGATCTTTATTTTTTTAGATTATGATTTAAGGGTTTATAGCTAAACCCTTGCACCCTCTAGTCTAAAAAGCTCTAAATCTATGTATATAGTATACAGTTTAGTTTGACTTATCTAAAGGCAATGTACATATTAGAAACTTTGTCCATTTTCTCTTTCAAAACAAAACTTCGTCCATTTTACAACAAAATTAACAGGGATGGCCATTACTTGAAAATGCATTGTTAGAACGTCAAAAAAAAAAAAAAAAAAAAAAAAAAAAAAAAAAATTCTTCTGAAGGCTGAGAATTTGAGGCCAAATGGAGGGGATTTTTTGATTTTCTTTGGAAATGTTTTTTTCTTCACTGCCAACAATATCATCACCATAACTCAAGAACATGATATTATAATTTAGATTTCCACATTACATCTCTATGTTATCATTGCCTCTCAACAAATTCTTGTGTAGCATATCATACATCTAAACACATACAAAGAACATAGATCTATATCCATGGCAAAAACATCAACCATCCATGAATCATTTTATCATAGGATCATCAAACATTAATTTCTAACCATAACCAAATGATTCAAGAAAAATCTCAATTGTAAACTGGATTCACATACAACCAATGAAATCTTTTCCAAATCCCACCATTATTTTAATTCCAATATGTCAATAAGTCTACACCCAAAAGAGTATCACTAACACAAGACAGACATAATAAGAAACCAATCAAAGAGATTTCACCTCCTTCCTAACAAATGATGGCAAGGCAAATGCAGCTCTATGCATCTGTCATATAAAGTAAAAACAATTCATATCAAATTCCAAGATTTTTTTTTTTTTTTTTTTTTAAAGTATATAACATATCAATTGATAAAAAAAACTCAAACACACCTGTGAGTTGTAGAATTTGAGTTCTCTTTGATGCTCGAGTGCTCCCTGTAGCTTCTCAATAGGGTTTACAGGGTTCCTAAAATCAACAGGCGGGCCCTCCGTTGAGCACAAAATGAATCCAATTACACCACTGCATAACCAAATAACTTGCTTGCATTAAAAAATATTTTTTTTTTCTGTAAAAAAAAAATAATAAAAAAAATGGTACCTTGGATATGTGGGGACACTGGCCCATGCATAGTGAACAGAGCCTTTAAATATTTTTTGGCAAACAGAAATCATATCATGAATAAGATGAGTGTGGAGCCACATGCTTTCAGCCATGTTACAAAGAACACCACCAGGCCTTAAAGCTTTTGCTAACATCTCAAAGAAAGGCCTTTCCACAAGCTCTTGAGCGGGACCCACAGGATCAGAAGAATCAACGATAATAGCATCATACTTTCCTTCTGGTATGTTCCTTATAAACTCAACAGCTATTACGTAAAAAAAAAAAAAAAAAAAAAAAAAATCAGATAACAAAGAAAGACTTTTAATAAAAATAGCAATATAAACATTCTTCAAATATATATTACCATCACCAACATGAAGATGAACACGAGGATCCTCAAATCCAACAGCTAACTCTGGGAAAAACTTCTTGCTAACCTACAATCAACAAAAATAAAATTCACAATCAGAATCTCTAAGATCAAACAAGAAAGAATATATATATATATATATATATATATATATATATATATATATATATATATATATATATATATATATTTTTTTTTTCATAACATACATCTATAACCATCTTATCTATTTCACATATATCAATCAACTCTACGGAGCTATGGCGAGAAATTTCCCTAAGTACCCCTCCATCACCACCACCCACAACCAGAACCTGTAGATAGACCACACCATATATTTAGTTTTTTTTTTATATAAATTAGAGAAATATCAGTGTCACAAGAAAAGAAATAAACAAGAACTTGCGTTTTTGGGTGATTTGATGGAACAAAGGGGAAGATGAGCTATCATCTCCTGATATGCACATTCATCTTTCTCAGACAGCTGAAGAATCCCATCAAGAACTAGTACTTTTCCATATGTTGCAGACTGCATATCCAAATCCAAATACAAATCAAATAAATAATTAACATATAACACGGAAATTCAAATACAGGATTTGTTAATGTTGAAATGTGTTATGTGAATGTGATACCTCAAAAACCAGGACCTCTTGATATTCTGACCTTTCCTTGAACAAAATCTTTTCTACAGCCAATGAATGTGCTTCCCCTGGCCACATGGGGTTGTGGAAGTACATTCTTTTAGCCTTATTGTCTGAAAAGGAGAATGGAAAAAGGGTCAAAATGGAACGCAAATGACAAAATGTATGCAAATAAGTGAAGAAAGAAAGGGAATGAGTGAATGACCAGAAGAAGATTGATGTTCAGAAAACCATCCAGAAACAACTGTTGCATGGCAGTTGGCTTGAAGCTCAGGGTCAGGGGTGTATGCCTGAGCTTTCAGGCAACAAGGAGGGATATCAGTGTGACACCTGTCCTCATTCACCTTCCCATCCATAGTCTTCTGGCATCCCAAATCTCTTCCTGCGTCTCCCTCCATATATTCGCCTTTTCTTGTCCAGCTCCAGCCTCTAACCAAAAGAATTTCAACTTATTACATGAATGATGCTTTAAAAAAATGATAATATATAACATGAACATGAAAGAAATGAATCAAACAACCAGAAGCAGATAACACACACCAATGGCATTCTTATACTATTGAATTCATATTAATCAGGACAGATTACTAGTGTAAGTTGTATGAAAAACAGATACAACATCTGATATTTATGTAAGGCAATTCCATTAAAAGTAAGACCAAAAAATCCTGCAATTAATATCACAATGAATGTATAAGTATTTACGTAAAGTAACTCTCTACTTCTAACAAGAAGGCACATGTAAACAGTGTGTCATTGAAGCTATAGATCAAGAACCGTGTCAAAGAGAAAAAACTATACCAACATTTGAGATGCATAATCAATTTATCCATAATAAAACAAAGTACTTAAACTTTACTCTTGACCACTACCAGACTGTCGAAAAAATAGCTAGGGATTAAACGATTAAAGGGGAAAAGCGACTACAACGACTGAAATTATGACTATGAGGATAAAAACAAGGCGCTGGATACTTAAATTTCCCCATCAATCGATCAAACAGAGACGGAGACAGAACCATAAGCATTCGATTAAAAGAGATGAAAAAGGCAAACGATACACGAAAAACGTCCATATGAAGCGAAACCATAGATGAAATCGTATATACCTGTGATGGCGTCAGTTCTGATTATCTAAATGTGTATGTATATGTGTAATCTATACAAAATTTGAGGAAAGGGGAGAACCAAAAAAAAAAAAGAACCGAAAGAGCGCAGAAAAGCGCACAGTCGCGCACTTTCTGGTCGTAGCGTCTTGGGGTTTCTTTTTCGTAGTTGGAATGGAGACGATGAAAATGGTGCAACGGGATGGACACATGTGTATAAATATGGTTGGAGAGGTTAGTGAAATGACTGTTTTGTCCTGGTATTGTGACGTGGAAGCAATATAAAACAAGTATCTTTTTCTTTTTCTACCGTTTTTTTTATGGAAAAGAAATATTCTTTGACCAAAAGAAAATTATACGGTTAAACCTTACTATACATATTACATGCATACCATTATTATTGTAAAAAATAATAAAATAATAAATTATGTTTATATCTTTGATATATATACTAAATATATTATTTCCAATGAAATTATTAATTAGTAGCATGTCTAAATAACAATGTTATATTTGTTTGTTACTATAGAAATTAAATCATTTTATTCATAAAATTATTGGAAATTCCAAGTTTTGTTTGTAATAAAGAATAAAATGTTTTTATTAACGGTGAGGATTAAACCTTATATAAATAAAGATATATAAAAGAGCTATTGGGCTAACCTAAATCCTAAAGGCTAACATGTTCCTACAGTTTGATGAGAATATCTTGATTAAATTGAAAAACATAAACATAGATCCAGATAAAATGCAGAAGAGGGAGGTCGGCGAAGATCAAGAACTGAATGTATTTGCGGTAGCGACGACGATAACTAGATTAATAGATTTTCTCGGTTACAATGGTTTTTAAAAACAAAAATAAACATTTGCCACCTTCTACCAATATTTATAGTTAATTGGTATTTTTAAAACCCTTTAAATAGTTTGTTACAAATATATGTCATTATCCCCAAATTATTATTACTTCGAAGGTTAGCACTTCAACAACATAAGGTTGACATATAATTGCTTTTTGAGATGTGACCATTTTGAGAAATTGAGTATGTCTATTTAACTTGAACAGATGAATTAGTATTTCATTAGTAGGCATTTAGAGAAATTGAGTATGTCGCCTTCAAATGGATTAATATTTCATTAATGACTTTCAGGGTCGGTCCTGAGGATTCAAATGCCCAGGACGAATCGGGAAAAAAGGGCCCTTTGGGCCTTAACATGTAATGAATGAATGATCCATTGTCACCAAGGATGGAACATAACCATTAAAACTAAAGAGACTGAGATAAAAGGAAGCGAATACATATTATTTTTCAAAAGCTAATTTATATTTATATTTAGTATGATGTTATTAGAAATGGAAAACAAAATCATATTTTACAACTATTCTATTTTATCCATGTTAGCATTTTTAATCAATTTGTCTTTCGCAATTGAAATAACAAATGTTTAAAGTACATTCATCCTCTAGTAAAACTAAAACAAAATTGACAATCTTAAAATTAACAAATGATCCATAATTCAGAAGGAACACATAGTTAAGTTAATGTCGGTTTATTGTTAATTTATTGTTGTTTAAAAGGAAAAAATGAATCAAAAAAAAAACTTTTAATTCCAATATACTAATAGAACTGGAAAAGAAAAGCTGACAAAAGAAAAAGCTTTTAGCTTTTTACCTTATACGCTTTTAGCTTTCTACTCTACTATGACATAGCATTGAATAGGCGACAAGAGTTTTTCATATATCAATGACAAATAATAAAAAGACATTCAAATAGAGAGGTAAGAGCAAAACGAGATATGTTAGAGAGAGTGAGAGTAATGCACATACAGTGAGAGCTCCAGGCAGCAAGATCTCCGAATCTGAGATGGGCGAGATGCGTATTCAATCAAAGTAACACACTGGGGCTACAGTGGAGAAGGTTTACGGCATTGATCGAAGCCATCTTTAAGGCGACGACAAGAACTAGAGTACCATGGTTAGGGTTTTTAGTTTTTACATTTTAGATTTGTTTTCTCTATTATTTGTGATTTTTGTAAAAGTTTAGATAATCTAAAATTTGTGGGCTTTCTGAATCCGATGTGTTTAAATGCTGATTATGATTTGTAAAGTTTTGATTTTTAGATTTCGACTACTAATTTTTTTATAGATTTTATCAGGTTCTTTTTTCTAGATTTTATCGGGTTAGAATACTCTTAAGTTTTAACAGTTTATTCTCAAAATCTTGAAGTGTATCATATATTTGTTTTTTTGGGCCCCTAAAGAAGTCGGGCCCTGTGCAAATGTCCCTTTTGCCCCCCTTTAAAACCGGGCCTGATGGCTTTTGAGATGTCACCATTATGGGTGAGCATATTAATCGAAAAACCGAACCATAACCAAATTAACCAGTATAACCGAACCATTACTAAAAGATATGGTGCAGTTTCTAATTTTGATTAACCGAATACATATGGTTCGATTATGGTTTTTATCTAAAATCGAACCACTATTAACCGAACCGAACCAATAATATTAATAAATATTTTTAATATAATACAATATTAAATACTCCCTCATCTCATAATTATTATCCACTTTTGAATTTTGACGTATTTATTCCGTAACTTTGACCTTAAGTATTTTTGTTTTTGATATATAATACTTGAGGTAGAATATATGAATGGATTGTGTTTTAAATGTTTTTTCATCGTTATAAGTTTCATCAAATAATTTATAACACAAATAAAAATATTTAAAGTCAAAATTAAATAATAAATACGTTAAAAATCAAAAGTAAACAATAAATATAGAAATAAGGAATATAATATATGTAATACATTGAGAATTGGAATTTTAAATAGAAATTACTGTGAATTAGATATGACAAGTAATCTTCTATCAAGATAGTTATATATACACAATCATTTTTTTTATAACAATGGGTTTATGTTTTTCAATTTTTATAGAAAAATATATTTATTTTTATGTCATTTTGGATCATTATGGTTAACCGATATTAACCGTTAACCATACCCATTAACTGACTAAAACCGTTATCCAAAACCAATATTAACCGTTACCCAATGTTTATTGAAATACATTAACCAATTGTAGTGGTTATAGTTCGTTTTTTACCAATAACCGAACCAAACCATCCCATACACACCCCTAGTGACCATTTAGAGAATTCGAGTATATCTAATAAATGGATTAATATTTTATTAGTAGTCATTTACAGAAATTAAGTATGTCTCCTCTAAATGAATTAGTATTTTATAAATTGTTTTTGAAAATGTGATCATTCAGATAAATTAAGTATGTCTTTTAATTTTAACAAATGGGTTAGTATTTTATTGGGTCCAATTATTTGGATCATTTTTAAATTCTTATAGGATTCTAATAATTACTTTAACTTTTTTCTTAAAATAAACTAATCATTATAAAATAATTATCTTTTTATTAATTATCATTAGATAATATTAGACCCCTCATGATTATTTCATATTTTATTTTAAATAAAACTAATCATTACATAATAAAAGGGTTCAATATAAAGATTTATTTATAGAAAAAAAAAGAATATTATTTTTACAAAAAAGTATTAAAATAAAAATATATTTATTTTTTTCAAATATATAAAATAAAAAATTTTAGATAAAAAAATTTAATTATTTTTTCTGTTTTTATATGCAATTTATTAAAATCATTTTTATATGAACGTATAATAATAAGTGACTTCAAATACAACATAATAATAATAAAATAAAATTTCAATGTATTACATAACAAAATAATTCAAATATATTTTCTTACATAAAAATAATTCAAATATATTTGTACATAAAACTCTAATGAAAAAATTGGATTTTTTTTGGTGTGTGTGTCTTCGCCTGGTTGGACCACGGAAGCGACTCATTCGTCGCCAGCGTCGGACAACCCCAACTGTCGACTCACCACCTTTCTTTTCCTCATTCTCTCTTTATTTTCCCAACAACTTCTAGCGGTGAGAATAGTAAGATTTTTTTGGTGTGTGTAGATTTTCATTTCAGATTGGTGTATGTTTGTGTACATACATAAAACAATGATCGTTGTAGATATATGTACCATCACTATATTTTTTATTAATAATATAAAACAATGATCGTTGTAGATATATGTACCGTCACTATATTTTCTATTAATAATACTTAGTTTTCATTTATATATTCAATATCATTTTATTTCTATTTCTTGGTTTATAAAAAATATTAAAATGTAAAAAAATATTAAAATATATAGAAAACGTTGATACATTGTATTATTATTTTATTATAAAAGAATAAAATATATAATAAATAAAAAGTTGATAGTAATTAAATGATAGATATGATTTTACAAAAAAAAAATAAATAAATAAATAAATAAATAAAATAAAATTAGTAATCATACAAACTATTGATATTATAAATACAATTTATTCGGTCCCTAGGATCCAATTATTATGACACTATTTTATTAATAGACATTTAACAAAATTAATTATTTCTCTTTCATTTGAAAACATGTTTGAATAGAGAAAGATGTGACTTATTTCTTATATGTGTATGTGTGCCCGTGTATATTTGATTTCGGGGTTGGTTATTTGTTGAAATTGCATTGTTTTTCAAAAAAAATGATTATAAGTAGTTGATTATATGTTGACTTTTTATAAAAGTGATGATAGGGTGTTTAAGAGGTGTCTTATTAACAACACCCTTTATTTCTTATATGTGCATGTGTGGTCCGGCTACGGTTGAGAGGACGAAAAGAGGGAAGGCTTAAATAAATAATCTGGTCTGGTATAGTAAGTCATTCTGACTTCCTTAAATAAAGAATAGTCAACATCTCGTATGTTTTGTGTAACACTATGTTGTAGCGGTTTCGGATCCAACATATTCCATTGGAGGAGATCAATGGATTAGAGAAATTTTAGATACTTCCGAGCATTTTCAGTGAGATTCTATTGATGTTAGTTTATATTTGGCTACGTCATTGTCACATGGCTAATTACATTACAATCAATAGTCTAGATACAAAGAACTTTAAGAAGTATGATGATGCAACCATAGATCACTCAAGAGAGATATTAATTAAGGACAAATGATAAAGAAATCAACCCGTTGAAAATGCTAGATGAACCTAGAACAATGAATAGTATTATGATGACAATTTGGATGCGAAGAACTTTGAGAAACATGATGACAATTTGGATTAATTTATACAACACGGCAGTGACGACAGTGTAGGAAAGCAGAAGACACTGTGTGGGTGTTGTGGAAGAAATCCATTGGAGCATACAGACGGTGAAGCTACACAAGGTACGCATGTGTCTAGGTCCTACAAGAGGGACCAAATGTGTGCAACTCCAAAACGAACACAACTCACAAAGTTTACTGTTCATGAGCCTCATGGCAATTAATATTATATATACTATAATTTATGGTAAATAAAAAAAATTAAAAGTGGGTACATGCGGAACTTTAAAGTTGTTGATGGGCTAATTTTCAAGGTAATAATAAATCAATGATAATGACATAAATAAATAACAAGCTAACTAAAACATTTAAAAAATACAGTTGCACTATAAATGTTATCATAAGGTAACAATGTTTTTGTTTTTAAAGTAGATATTCCCGATCACAATGATCTTTTAAAAACAAAAAAAAAAAAAAAAAAAAATGCTACCTTTTGACAACATTTATTTAGTTCAAAAGCATTTTTGTGATAAACCTATGAAAGAAAGTGTGTTTGCATATAGAGGCAATCCATGTAGTTGTAAGCTTGATGAACAACTAAACTTGTGTACAAGTGCATGACAGCGGCCATAATTCCATCACCCGGCCAGAAAAATTGTGGATACATTTTGCAAACAGTTTATTTCTTCTTGTAACATATGTGTAAAAAACTAAAAATTGTAATTAAACGTTTTCGGTTTTATAGATAAGAGTCTAAAATTGAATTAAATCATCATAGTTAATTTTTAGTTTTGATTATAATAATGGTTATTTTTAAAAGTTCTTGATATATAAAAAGGGCATTCATACAAAAAAAAAATCTAAATTTTACTACGAGACAGGGATAAAACTCAATGAGCTGACATGCTAATCGATACACACAATCAAAACTAACAAATCACAGCATTTTCTACTTAAATCTTAATTCATTTTGCATTTCTTTAAATGTAAGTAAAGGCTTAATCATTAATTCCTTGACATCATGTTTAAAATCCATGTAGTAGTTCCTTAAGCATATACATGATTATCATCCAGATATTTTACTTGGAATAATTATATCATCATCTATGATGTTCTTTATTAATCCTCAAACCTCCTCATCTAACATTCCTCATATACATCATAGATGCTGATAAATTATTCCAAGTAAAATATCTGGATGATAATCAATGCAACTCAAATCATCACCTTTCACTATCAATATACTTGCTTTTATTACTCCCAAAATTACATACCTCTTTATTAAAAGGTGAAAATTTAACATTTAGATCACATATATACATAACAACATACGTACTTTTAGTTCTAGTCTAATTTGTAAAGAGAATATGACGAACTAGTCGGGGTTTAACATTTGGGATATACAAGAAACTAATCTAATAACAACATACAATTAAACTAAAATAGAAGCTTATTTAACAAAACCTGCTTTGACTTTGACCAGGTTGGCTACATCTCCTCCTTTACATTTTCTACATTAAAACTTTCTCAAGATTTCAGTTTCTTCTGTCTTGGCAAACCTTCCCCTGATCCTTGGTTGACTGTCTGCCAATGCCTTTCTGCATGCATACTGAAACCATTTTCACTATGTTATATCCTGCGCCATGGCTTAATATATAAATAACATTATAAAAAGAGAAAGTATACCTTGATTTTTCTACCGAAATTCCTCTTTGTCTTCTTGTTTCTGTATCTTGAGAGCTTCTGCCAACGGTCTTCCATGGTGTGTTCACTCATGAGATGTGGCTGTCTATGGCTTCCATTGCCATTATCAAGAGTCTGTCATGGAAAACTCGAGTAATTGAGATTCATGTATCATGGTTTTTCCAACTAATTGCAGAAACGTAAACAAAAAAACAAAACCTTTATGTCTCCTTCACTGAACGCCCTTCGCATCCCATAAACATTTGCAAAGTTCACTTCCATAGTGTTCAAAACACCAGGCTGAATCCATTCCATCGAGCTTAAACAATCTGAGCTCACACTTTTCACGATCTGTCCAGGTGGATGCACGGTTTCTTTCACAATCGGGATTTCGTCTGTTCTAACTGTGAATTTATAGTTCAAGACCTCTGAAAGCGGTGAAGTTTCGGTTGCTTCTTTTGCCAAGATTTCTTTGAATTCATGGAAAATTTCATTCAGAGATGCATCGTTTTGAAACGACTGGATATCTGTTACACTGAGTTCTTGTGAAGAAAGGTCGTCTTCTGCACAAGTGATCGCCGACATAGCGTCAACAGTAACCAATGGTTGCTCGATCATCGGTTCCTGTGCTTTGAAAAGATCCCCTTCACCCCCAAAATCGAAATCTGATATAACAGAGCTCTGAACCACACTCCCCTGTATTAGAAACAGAAAATGGACCGACAATTATTAGGAAAAACACTATCAATTACGATGAGTTACAATTCAAGATTGCGAAAACCCTAATTCTGAAAAACCCAAAGCGTCACCATTGAAATCAACAAGATGAACCAATTGCTCGATACAAACAAATAGAAGAATTAAATGTGAATAGAAGTAGTAAAAGTGAAATTAGTCAATTACCAAGCACGAATTGGATTTGTGGGAGTAACAGAGATCATCGAATTGTTGAACATCAGGTGAGAAACTTTGAAAGTAAGGGAAAGTTACGCCAGTCTCTGCAGACATTTCTTTGTTTGAACAAGAAATACCCTTTTCGTATTTTGCTCTCCTGTAAAGAAAGGTCGACTCTTTGAAGTAAAAAGAGCACACCGAAATGGCTTTTAGTGGAGAAAAAGACAAGTCCTTTTCACATTGAGCAAAGCAAAACCCTAGAACAAGACTAGTAAAAGAGTACAACTACAACACCACTATACAACAAAAAGACATCAAGAGAAAAGAAAAAGAGGGAAAGATTCACACCCATAAAACCAGATTAGTATTCTGATGATATTGGTGTCCTTTTTCATTCATTTATATGACATCTTATCATCCTTTCTATTCTTGTCAGATGTTTTATTAAGTTTTTACTTTCAAAAACATGTATAAAAGTACGTTTTATCATACCAAATCAATGATACTCTTTACCAATATATGAGAGAAAGAAGCTCGTTTAGTAGTGCAGTTATGTGGTCTGCTAAGTACGGTTTGATAAAAGCGGAAGGTTTGTTCTATTAACAAGTTGCAATAGAAAAAAAACCTAACTTTATTATGTGGTTTGCACTTGGTAAAAGACTTTTTTAATGATTAATTTTATGTTATAAAAATAAATTGATACTTAGCAATTTTAATCCGTATCAAGGGTTTCTATGGTAGTTTCAGTCCCTATATTTTTTTTCCTTTTTTTTTCCTACTTACTTGGCCATTTTTCTTTTTTCTTTTTTGTCGGTGACTCCCTTCTTTACAATTTTTTTGGCAATTTCAACAATTTTTTTTCCTTTTTTAACGAAAATAAATGGGGTTGGCTAAATTGACATCTCATTTTATCATTTAGACACCCTATATAGTTTTTAAAGTAATTTTATTGGTTAAAATTGCATTATCTTTTGAAAAAGATAATTAAAAATTGTTATTTATATGTTGACTTTTGATAAATGTCTATAAAGTGTATAAAGGGTGTCTTAATAGCAACACCAAAATAAATTGATCCTTAGCAATTTTAGTCTATATCAAGGGTTTCTACGGTACTTTCGGTCCCTATAAATTTTTTTTGGTCCTATTTACTTTGTTATTTTCATTTTCCTTTCTTTATATTATTTGGCAATTTCAATAATTTTAAAGAATTGGTTTTGTCATTCAAAAAAGGGTTGCGGCACAACTTGTTGTTCGTTTACCCGCTACGTCTATTTAAAAAAAAATTATGAAACTTTTATTGATTGTTTACTGTTTTCAAATATATATATAGTGTTGTAAACTCGCCGAGTTAGCCGATTACTCCTCCGAGTACTCGCTACTCCCCCCTTGCCGAGGCGATTTACATAATCCCGAGTACTCCCCGATCGGTCCCTTACGAACTGAGTAGTGTTGTGAAATTAGGTCAACTCAGTGATTAATATGTAAAATATACTTAATGATTTATTATTTAACACACACACATGTGATTACTACATATATATATATATATATATATATATATATATATATATATCTTAAATTTTCACTAATTATTCACGAAGTGAGATCATTATGTGTTTTTTGTTTTTTGTTTATTCACATATATCCAATTTTGTTATACATTTCAATCAACTTATGATTTTATCTTATGATTTTGACATAGATAATTTCCCTAAAAATATTTCTACACAAATTTCCAAATCTGAGTACTCCCCAAGTACTCGCTACTCGGTAGTCGGCCGAACAGATACCGAGTAACTAGTTCTACAACCTTTTATATATATATATATATATATATATATATATATATATATATATATAATTTGATTTTTCTTAATAACTTTCGTTCATTAACTTATATGTAATAAAAACTTGTTTGCGTGTTTATTTTTATGTATGTATCGATATCAATTTAAGGTGGTCAATATTTTGACGTAAATTTAGAACTTACGTTACTTGTAAATTTTGTGTACATTTTAATTCTTATTTTTATGTATGTTTTTGACAATTTTGTGTACATTTTAATTCTTATTTTTATATACCCTTTTTTTTTGACGTATAAGTTTCTTTACATATGAATTTTTCATGCAATTTCCATCAAAACTTGCCACCCTTCAAATTTGTGAGATGACAGTTTCCAACCTTTATTTTGTAAAATGTCATTTACTGTCCCTCGCCTTAGAAATTTCTAAAATGTCAATTTCACCCCACCATTTTCTAACGTTTCATTTTTAACCTGTGTAACTTATATAATATGTTTTCGCTATAGTTACAACCCCTCGACTTTGTCAAATATCATTTTGACCCACTCGACTTTGAACTTTGTAAAATCACTTCATCATCTTGATTTTCTAAACTTTCGTATTTACTATATCTACCGACAATTTTGTCGATAGTATTGACCTTGTATATTTATCTATCAATAAATGCAATGTACCTAACTTTTATCAATAATGCATCAAAAATCAATTTACTAAACTCGTGGTTGTCAAGACAAACAAATAAATAATCCTAGAAATTACACACTAGATATTATATAATGGCAAGGGGATCGAATCTACAGATATTGATTCAGTTTGTAACTCTATAAAACCTATTTGTAAAAGCAATCGTAAAATAACAATAAAAATAAAAAAGGGGGTTTTAGTCTTTTGATTCTTTTAAGAAACCTAAATTATACTAAAACTTAGAAATTACAATTCAAATAGAAAAAGAGCTTGATATAAATTAATGAGAGAATTATGGTTGAGTTTGGATTTCATCAAATAGATGTTTAGTTAATTATCATTAGACATTATGGTGCAAGGCTTGTGGTTTAGTATACTTTGGCTATATTGATCTAAAAGCTTAAATCATCTAGACCTTCTTAGTTGGCAAAATAACTAGATAAGCTCATAACATTTTTCCTTAGTTAAAGTCATAATTCCCATAAAACGTGTAATTAATGAAAAGCATGTAATTAATGAAAATTAATTAACATTAAGATTAAAAAGTCACCAAATCCAAGAGAAGTCAAAATGATTCAGTACCATATTGGAGAAAAGACTTTCATGATTGCGTAAAAGGAAAACAAACACAAAACCCATTTGTTGCTTGCTAACTTAAAGATCCATTAATTAATCACGAAATTAGCCAACTAATCACTAAACATACATCTAAACTCATGAATAAAGACATATGGATAAAAAATGTTGAAATGGAGTACTTTCATAAACATCACCACAAGTTCATAATGATCTTCAAACAACTAAACAACCATTGTCTTGGGCCCCAACATACTATGGTGACCATCTGGACTTATAAGAATCACAATTATCTGTGTTTTTTTAGTTTCCTTGTTTGCGCATCATGACTGGTTCTGAATCTGGTAGTGGTTTTAAGACTACTGAGTCTGTGAATTACGATGATTCATTGTTCATTCATCATTCTGATAATATTGTCGCTACAATTGTAAACTTTAAACTAACTTGGACCGAAAATTTCCATGTTTGGTGTAGTTCTATGACTAGAAGTCTTAAAGATAGGAATAAATTAGGATTTGTTGAAGGTAAAGTAACTAAGGATTCCAATGATGAACTTCAGTCCTTGAAGTGGGAGTGTGCTAATGCAGTTGTCGGCTCCTGGATCCTTGGTTCTTTATCTGAGTCAATTTACTCTGCTCATGCATGTTCTAATTCTGCTAAAGAAATTTGGGATGAACTAATTGAAACTTATAATAAAGCAGATGAGTATGTTATATTTAATGTTCATCAACGTATTAATTCTCTTAGTCGAAATTGAACTTCTTTGTCTAAATAGTTTAACAAACTTGATGCTCTCTGGAAAGAATACGATGGTCATACAAGTCTTGCTGAATGTATCTGTGAGGCTGCTGCTAAATATGACGATCATTATAAGCTAATGAAATTAATGCAATTTTTAAATGGTCTTGATGAGTCTTTTAATCAAGTAAAGAGTCGCATACTGTGACATCCCCAAAATCTCGGCCAGAAAAGACCGATTTCATTTATGCTTTTAAAATAATTTCAGAGTAAATACTTTTGATTTAAAAGAGTTGCGGAATTTGTTCCCAAAAACAAAATATGATAAAATAATATTTACCAAAGAATTTCATAAAGAAATGTATTTTCATTATATAATCAAAACTCGGGATGTCATGTTCCGATACAGACACAAAAGCATAAACAACAAAAGATAGACCATACAACAGTTACATATAACAATTGGTCTAATAAACAAAATAACTTGATGATTCATCCATCTTATGCCCTCGCGCCACTACTTGTAATACAAATAAACTTAGTGGGTCAGACTTGGGATCCTGGTGAGCATATAGGGTTTTCAACCCACAATAAATAATTATATTTAATTTCACCAACCAACAATAACCCGATTACCCATTCCCGTTATCCTCACTTTACGTCCCTAAAACAACATCTATTACCAGGAACCTAATCTAGGATTTTCATTGGGATGGACATTACTGCTAAGGGGTTTCCTCAACAATAGATGTCCTAAAGGCAACCATGAGGGGGATAGAGTACATCGGTGAACACATCGTTCACAACACCTACATGTTATGAGCCTGCTAGCGTTCCACATGAGTGTCTAGAAAGAGTCTGTGGTCGTTATCCATACTCCGTTGAATAACTAGATCAACAACAACAACATCGAGGCCTCTCATCTATTTATTACACATCAACTATCTACCCATATTCTACCCAACATATTAGTAGATAAAAATATATATTTTTATACATAGTTTAAAACCTGTATAGCATTCTCATTAAATACATATTCCAAACAACAGATGAGAGACATACACATAACACGTATATCATAGAGAATAAATCATATCTATGAGATAGAAGAAAGTGAATATACATTCACACATATAACCAAAAAAATATACACATAACACATATTTCGTATAAAATACTTCGTAATTATGCGTTAGAAGAAAGTAACTACACACTCACTTGATCAGAAGATGATCGGACTACACTACGACTTGTAGAAGTAGTATTCTTAGGTAGATCTGGAAGATCTTCACAAAAATCAGGCTTCTCGCGAGCAGAGCTTCGGCTCGGGAATTGCACTTTTCGGGATCTTCGAGGCTTTGGGACTTGCTTCGGGACTCGGGAATGATATCGGGGATTCGGGGTATAAGTTGCACGCAAAACGATCCAAAACGAGAGAGAGAGAGAGAGAGAGAGAGAGAGAAGAGAAATTGAGCAAAAGAATCGGTTGCCCTTGCATGCCCTTTTATAGAGGCTGAAGCCTCGCATTACGCTGGGCGTAATGCTCAGTACGCGGGGGTTATGCTTCGGATTCGTCATCGCTTACGTCATCAAAGCACTCGAGCGCGAGGCGGTGCATGCATCGGGGTATGCTGGGCATACTCAACTACGTTGGGCGTAGTTCGGATCAGATTGGTGACTCCTTCGAATATCCATCCGAATTAAAGATTATATAATAAATATTAATTATTTAAAAACTTCAGAAATTCATATCTTCTTCATACGAACTCCGTTTTCGACGTTCTTTATATCTACGCGTAGGTGAGACTACGCTCTACAACTTTCG